GGAACAGAAAGAGGAAACGAACACATTTCTCAAAGAAATAGCCACCTAAATGGAGGCTAATGAAGAGGAAACAAAGTTCTCAATGAAACAGCCGAACAAATGAAGGTAAATGAAGAGGAAATGAATGAAGCTCTTAAGGAAATACAGGCAAATATGGCCAAACAAATAGAGGCTCAAATAGATGCACAGTTAGTGACATACAGACCAGAAATGAACAAAAAATAGACACCGTCCCAGAAAGACAGGAATCCACATTCAAACCGATGAAGGAAATGGTGCAAGGCATGAAAACAGAATTAGAATCAACAGAGAAAACACAAACAGAGAAAACCCTGGAGATGGAGGACTTGGAGAAAAGATCGGAAACCACAGAGCTAAGCATCAGCAATTGAATACAAGAGATGAAAGAGAGAATCCAAGGTCCTGAAGATCCACTTGCAGAAAATGATACTTCTCTCAATGAGAATGGAGAATCGGGAAGGTTCCAAACAGAAAAATCCACGAAATCAAGGATGCCACGTAAAGACAAAAATCTAAGAATAACAGGGATGGATGAAAAAGAAGATTCCAGGCTCCAAGGTCCGGAACGTATTTTCAAGAAACTCAGAAGGAATTTCCCACAACTTAAAGAGAGAGATGTCCATAAACAAACAGAACACCAAACAGACTAGACCAAAAAAGAAACTCCTCAGGTCACATCGTAGTCAAAGCACCAAATCTACAGAACAAAGAAAAGATATTAAAAGCAGCAAGGGAACAGGGCCCAGTAACAGATGAAGGTAGAGCAATCAGAATCACGCCAGAAGCCTCCACAGAAACCATGAAAGCCTGAGGGCCTGGGCAGAGGTCGTGCAGACTTTACCAGACTACGGATGCCGACCCAGACCACTCTACTCAGCCAAGCTTTCACTCCACATAGGTGAAAACAAAATATTCCATGACAAAACTAAATTTAAACCATCTCCACACAGAACCCGAGACACACAGAAGATCCTGGAAGAGAAACTCTATTCCAATGGAGACAACTACAGCCGGGGAAAAACGGGACACAGATCACTTCGCAGCGAAAATGAAAAGAGAACAAGCAATGGGTCATATTAACAGCACCAACTCTACAGGAAAAGGGACTCACATTCATTGGTCGGTACCGTCTATCAACATCAAGGGACTCAGCTCTCCAATGAAAACCCACAGACCAACAGAATGGTTCCAGGACGCGACACTCTGCTGCATCCGAGAAATGCACCTCTGCAACCAAGACAAACACGGCCTCGGGGTAAAGGGCTGGAAATCCAAGCTGGGTTTCAAGCTTGGATTCAGGCGTGGTGGTATATGCTTTCAATCCCAGACGATGGGTGGAAAAACAGCAGGTAGAAGGGGGCAGCCATATTGGAAAGTGCTAATTCAGTAGCAGCAAAGGTGACAAACTCAGAAAAATATTGGACAGCATAGGATGTGTGAATCTCTCACGAGAAGAGAGAGGAAACGAAGCTCCCAAAAGGGGCGCTACCTGGAGGGAGGAGGGAGTTTTACGGGAACAGTAATAGACAGACAGATTGGAGGGAGAGAGAGAACCAAGGTCAAGATCAAATGAGCCGGAGAATAAAAAAGAGCCTGAAGGTTAGAAGAGACGGAGTTAGTCTGAGACTAAAGAAAGCAATTTAGAGGACAGCAGAAGAGACAGAGGTAATAAGTGAAGTAGGAGAGGAGTTTGAGCCAGAATCAGCCGTCCATGAGCTCAGAAAGAACAGGATAGGGCGGGCACATCAAGCAGTCGTTCTCGGAGGCTGAGCATTTTCTAGGCCTGAGGTAGACTGGGTGGAACCTAGAAGCTGCCCTGCCCAGGCCGAGGGGTGCAGACAGAGGGGCAGTGATCTCCAGACTCTAATTTCTAGATGGAAGGAAAGTCCTCTTTACAGTAACATCTGTTCAGCAAGGGTCTCACTGTCTTCTTCCACGTGGACATGCCTTGCAAACATAAACAGGAGAGCTGACATCGAGGAGCGTGGGTCTGCGAGAATTTAATATGCCTTAATACTCTTCAAGTGCTGGGTTTGCTACCCCATTGCTTTTCTTTAAGACTCCTGGGACACATGGAAAGTTTTTCAATATTTATATCAGCTTCCATGAGATCATTACCTTCCGTATCTTCTAGAATGTTGGCAGGGTTCTTCGATATTACGGTCTTCCCATCTGTAGCCTGAAATAGGTACCAGAAAGGGCATGATTTGTTACTGAAAATTAGGCAAAATTTAAGTTACTCTCTTCAGTGAACCTTAGAAACTTGCCTGATTCCTTCTCCCTCATTCCAATTGAAATTATCTAAGAGCTTCAATGAGAAAAATCAACAACAACAGACGTCCCCTTTACCTTAATAGTGAAGGAAAATCCACTGTCCTACCTATGGCTGTGAGGTGCTGGTAGGTGTCCAGCATCACGTCTTGGTAGAGACTCCTCTGGGAAGGATCCAGCAGAGCCCACTCTTCCCGGGTGAAGGTCACATCCACATCGTCGTAGGTCACCGAACTCTAAAAGATCCCGACATGGGTATGAGAGAAGGCACGATGGTGGCAACAGCGTCAAAGCCTACTTCATGGACAACACATTCACATGATTCCGGTTCTTCCCTGACTTATCCCCTGACGGAAACGTTCTGACGAGTTCACCTGGTCTTTTTGGAAGGGAACTCCGTGAGGAGGTTCACCTCATTTCCGCACCCTTTGAACCCCACAGAGCCTCACGAGAGGAACGCCAGTTAACAGACATGAAGGAAGAAAGACAAGGAGGCCGACGACCAGCACAGAGGCAGATCACAGAAACGGCCTGCACAGTTAGTGACTATAATAATGATGGGCGAGCAGGACGAATCAGCTCATGACTTCAGTGCCAGCAGTCAGGAGGCAGAGGTATGTGTATCTCAAACTGGAAGCCTGTATGGCCTCCAGAACAAGTTTCATGACATCCAGAGGAGGTCGAGTTAGGGCCTGTATCTGCTGCAAAAGTCATTCAGCTAAGGAAGACCCGAGAACGCCATGCACTTCTGAAGTTCCCACAAGGAATGACACACTCAATGCCGTCCTGTATCTGTCTTCCAGGAACCTCAAATCCCAGCTTAAGCTCTTCCAGGAAGGGGAACTCACTGAAAGGCACAAGCGGGCAGATGGAGACATTAATCCGGGAATAGTTGGTCGTAGGGGAGCAACCTGAGGCCGCTGAGGGAGCTCGGCCATGGAAACTAACTGGGCTCCATGGCCAGCGCCCACACAGAGGCTCACGGTCACCCGTTCCTCCAGACCCTGCAGCTCCGAGGCCAGCGGCTGGGTCTCGTGAGGACCACGAGAGGCACACAAGAGGGGCCCAGTCACACATGGGAGCACAATACACTCCTAGTCACTCCGTTAAAACCAAACAGACACGAGGAGGGAAGAAGGAGACACGCCTGCAATCCAATGACTCAGAAGACTCAGTATCAGTGTCACGAATAAAGACACCCTGAGAAACGGAATCCACTCCCGGCCAAACGTCAGAGCTCAGGAGTGGATGTGGGTGAAGATCAGGACGGGAGCACGTGCTTGACGTGCCCAGAAATCTGCACACCCCATCAGCCAGCAAATCCAAACAAAAACTGCCAGGTGTACTGGGCCCCACTGAGTCCCAGCCCTCTGGAGCCAGGGCAAGGTGGACCTCCAGGTTTGCAGCAGGGCGGATTGCGTCCCTGCATCCAGGGCAGCCGAAGCTACACAAAGCCTTGGTCTTCAAAACAACAAAATTAGAAACGTAAACACCTCAGGGTACCGAAACGGCTTAGCCACGAAAAGCAATTTCTCTGAGTGATTTAGAGATGGACAGAAGGAAACAGAGTGATCCGTTTCCATCACGACACAGCAGACGGGAACAAAAGGAAATGGTTTGCGGTCACAGACACTCAGATCCAGTCCCCAGTGAGGAATCTGGACAGGTCCCTCCTACAAAACCTTCCATGACGTCCTCCAAAGACACACCCGAAGAAGAAGGAAACGCTCGGTGACATTCTCTGACTTCTGCGGCCCTTCCCCACCCTCTGGTGCTGAAGACCCAGGTCCCAGGCTGTCCCAGCACTCTGCAGGGACAGCAGAGGCCGCTCCCTCTCCTGGGCCCACGTCTCCCGTGGATTACACACTCCCACTTTCTGTTCTGTTCAAGCCCTCAAGGCACCAACAGACCCGCGAGAACAGAACTCCCACGACAAAAGAGCCCTGAGGCCCACGACAAAAAAACAGAGAGAGAAGATGGGGAAACAACGAGGCAGAGGGTTGGTTCTTTGTGGGAAACGAACAAGATAGACGAACCCTCACCTAAAGCAAATGAAAGACAGAGCGGAAACACCTAAAATAATAGCCTCAGAAATTGTATTAAGAGTTTCTGTTTCTTTGAAATCCTGCTTGTGTCATGTGAGGGTTTTTCTTTTAACCCCAGGTGTGGGGTCCTTGAAGAAGGGAGAAGCTGCTGCTCGTCCTGACACCGTTCACCCACTCTGCTGCTCTGTTTGTCACTGCTGGACTGCTGGGCGCCCTGGTGATGCTCTGTTTGTCGCTGCTG